ACAGGTAGCTACAGTGAAATATTTTAAGTGTATTTTATCTATTTTGTCACAATTTGGTTTTTATTGTTTAGATGTAAGTATACTCTTTTATTTCATTTTACTTGTTACATCTCATTCTTGCCATCTACTGGTTTCCTGGTTCTTCCACATTACTAGGTAGGGATTACACCAACTCTGCTTACCACTCCAGAGCAAGCTATTTGCTCTTTCTAATGTAAGTAGTATATTTATTTTATACATTAATTTATTGTGTTACTGTGCTATTGGTCCTTCTGTTTTGATTTATCCCTTTGCCTATATCTGCCATTGCTGGACGTGAAGAATACTCATTGCTCCAGACCTGCCCATATCCTTAGATGGGGATTATACTATCCACGGTTATTTCAGCAGTGCTCTTAATAGCTCTTGGAAGTGTGAGTTTGTTTTCTTATGCACTTTATTGACACATTTGCACCTGACAATATTGCACTATTGGCTGTTTTGTTTATTTTTTTTTAAAGATTCCTGCTGTCGATTTGAATACCAAATATCTTTCATTAATCCACATGTATTGTATTTTTACAGCACTTTCTAAGATTTGTAAAGGTATTTCTATTCACCATTACTATTGGCACAGTTACTGTACCTACTGTTGTACACACTGTCTAATGCATGCATCAATACACACATTTCCCAATGGATACATTCATACACACATACTGCCTAATGCATACAACCATACACACAAACTACCTACTACATACATTCATACACACATATTTCCTAATGCATACATCCGTACACATATACTGCGAACCACATATATCCATACACACAAATTTCCAAAAAACCTCCATCTATACATGCTACCTAATACATACCTTGTACATTGAACACATCAATTATCGCTGTGATAAATGATGTATTTAATGCATTTGATGGAATTTAATTTATAATAACGGTGGGATTTTATTTGTTACAGTGAATTTGTCTGAAAGGTTCACTTTACGTAAAACAGTTTTTCAACACAATAAATGTATATGTAATATATAAGGATATTTATATTTACATGGGCACATGCACACACTCAATGTCACTTACACAATAACACATATGGTGTCACTGACATACACACAATGTCCCTTACACGCTAACACAACCCGAGGTCAGTGGGTTGGGCTATTGTAATATAAAGGAGGGTACAAATTGCATCTCTAACCCTTATACACAGTCCTGGAATACAGATTTACAAAAGGCAGCATGCAAGGGATTGTCTCTAATAGGTGATATCTGAGGCTGTAGGGTTAACAAATTTTTTATTAGTGCAATGTGTTTCCTGCTATCTTTCTCTACAGCTTACTTTTGTGTCTTACGATAAATTATATTTACATTTTATAAGATCTTAAACTGTTGAAATTCTACACTTGATACTTCCACTAGAGTAATTGTGTATTTTTACAATTTTTATAAAATGCCATGCTACACACTTTTCAAACACTGAACTTAGTTTCCTTTAAAATTGGAGCTTTTTTACATAAACATAAAAATGCCATATTAAACCGGAATATTCCTAATGTGAAAATTTAATATCATAAAAACAGCTTTGGGAAATCTTATTATTGGCCTAATTTCAAAAACTACAGGATCAGTTTAACATTCACTACATTATTTTCCAGATCATGAGCTCGATCTTTCCTTATAAGATTGAACTTCCGTAGGAATAAATAGCTTGCTTTTGACCTTTTAAACTAAAAATGTATTTTTCACTGAACATAATACACTTTATGTAAACTCCTATACTATACTAAGAAAATATACCTTTGAAAGAAAGATATGGTTGAACTGGACAGCTCTCGTTTAATAGAGAGGGAATTTTGATGCTTGAATCTTAAGAGAAACATTTATATTTATTAGTCAAATCAAACTTAAAAGATCCCCTCTTTACTCCCTCGTTAAAGCTATAAAATATGATAATGGCATGGGTGGCCATTAAAATGTACCTTCCGACAACTTTAGATATAATCTAGCTATCCACTATGCTAGCAAAATCCTCAACAAATCTAAATTAAAAGATGTGGCCTTCATCGACGTTTAAAAAATTATCCTCCTGTAATATTGGCCAGTATTTTTTAACAATGCAATTAATTTGGAAGGCTCTGGAATTATATCCAGTGCTAAATGAGAACTCGGATTTCTTTTTTTTGTTCATATGATAATTTTTTATCATTATCAAGAAGTTCTCCTCTTTCTATTTTCCTTATTTTTTCCTTATTTGAAGTGTTAAAAAATACTGGCCAATATTACAGGAGGACAGCTTTTTAGGTCCAATACTACCCCAAAACCCAAATGTATTTTTTAGGAAAGGAAAAAAAATTAAAGAACCATCTAGCACCATGCACTTTCCAAAATAAAAATCAGAGGGACTCCTAAATTTCTCATAACAGAGAGGGTTTTTGTTTGTGGTCAATGTAAGGATTGTAAATTTTTACCCAGAGTGACTCAATCCTTTCAAAGCACGTTCACACAAGAGACTTTTAAATAAAGGGCCTTGTTTCCTGTTCCTCCACACATGTTTGGTACCTGCTTACATGTGAGTAGGTGCACAGTATGTGGGGAGGACATGGAGAGTGGCAAAGGTCAGATTTTTAGAACACCAGAATAATATTAGAAAATGCATCACATCTCATTCATTCCCCATGCATTCCAACCGTTGTCCAGCTTTTAACCCCCGTACTTTCATTTTTACTTTTAGTGAACAAGTAAAATTGGACAAAAGAGGGGGGGAGGGGATCTAGTTATGAAACTTAGAAGAAGAGAGGGATAGTGGATTCATAAACTACAGATGTTGCAACCTAAAGGTTTGAACATTGATTTTTATTTCATATGTTTTTTATAATATTTATCTTTTTAATATACTTTTTTTTGTATTTATCAATATTAATTACTATTTTTATAACTAACTATACCAGTATTACCTCGCTCCTTTTCTTGTATCTTTCATAGATGTTTTACTAGTATTAATTATTCTATTATGATACATTGTTACATCTTGTCCTTTCTTGTTTATACCTCTTTAACCCCTTAAGGACACGTGACATGTCATGATTCCCTTTTATTCCAGAAGTTTGGTCCTTAAGGGGTTAAGATATAATACATTTTAATGAACTCTATATTGTGTATATTTTATATACATTGATTCCATATACAGGTTTTTCCTTATTCATTTTAATTGCATACTTTTCTTCTCTCTTTATTATGATGTATTTTATCCTGGACTTTTTCTGAGAACTGGCTAAAGCTTTTTGAACTCCAGAACGAAGTGAACGTAATTTGGAACGCATATGTGTTCCAACCAAACCATATTCTTATTCCGGAAGAGGTGAGGATCGTGGGTGGAGCGCGTGCGTCTGGTTCCATGATGACGCTTGGACATGAGGGAACATGTAGATGCACGTGCATTCCACAAAGTATTCTAAATGGAAGGAGCCCAGTTATGGAAAACTAAGATTATGAACAGGCACAGCTGTTCAGAACGAGCTTGGATTGGCTGATGGCAGTCCGGAGGCGGACTTTAATACATTTAAAATAACTTTCTGCATGTAAGATATTGTACTGACTTGTTTTTTGGACATATTGATTTTTAAAAACCCTGAGGAAGTCTCATATGAAATGAAATGCTTTGGGTTTGTCGTATGTATTTTGATAGTTTTTATAAAATTTTGATGCCCTTTTTTGCATTTTTCATCTGATGTTTGGGAAGATCATGTGTAACTAGCACTTGCACTTTACCATTGATCCAGTGACTTCAGAGATTCTGCTGATGGGCTTTTTATTATCATTTATCTTGTAAGTGTGCACAATAAAGCAACTTGCTCAGTACTTGACAGTGTTGCACTATATTTCTCCACTGTGTTCTCTTACATGCACTTCTGGGTGAATTGAATTATTAACATCATTGAAAAGATCATCAGTTTGAGATGAGACTGTAATTTATTGTACACTTGTGAGTTAAACCTTGAAATTTCACTTAAGTGTATTTTACGTTTTACCCTTTTCGGTCTTTGTCCTTTTATATTTTGTAGATACACCTTTTTAATATATTTTTTATTTGAGGAATTTTTAGGAATCTATGTGCTATCTACTCATTTACATTTGGTAATTATTCTTTGGAATTTTTTTGAACTGTGTAACGGAGCTCCTTGTACTCCGACTGAGTACCCTCCGTTGATGGATGCTCCTAGCGCTTCCTGAGGACTCCCAAGCACTGCAGCAGACACCACAACCACCGCAGACTCCGCAACCTCCGTATCTTGACTGGAGTCTCACCGTCTTCCTTCCACCCTGGATCAGCTTCTGTCCTCCAGGACTGTGTGGTGAAGACCCCTCCTCCAAGGAGAGCGTGTCAGGAACAAGCTCTTAAAAGAGCTAAGTAACTCAAGCTCAGGGGAGCATGCAAAGCATAGCAATCCCCAGTGTGATTATAACAGCTCCCTCCAATAACAAGACAAGGCTACGTTTAGAGGGATCAAGAAGAACTGTCAAAACCTTTATTCCCTTGGGACCAGCCAATACAGTCACCACAATAACATTGTTGTGAAACCTCAATAAAATCACAAACAGTCAAACCATATCAAGAAACACACAGTGACTTATCACAACACAATGGCACATTTTTAAAGGGGTGGGGGGAGACAATATTTAACAGTAAATATCTCACCTGCCTGCAGAATTAGCAATATGCAAATCTACCCGAATATGCAAATGAACCAGTCTTGCAATTCAGGTAGTGCATATTGCTGTTGCTACCAACAGAGGGCACTAGACAAGCTCCATAGCCAAACCCACCTAGTTGGTAGCAAACCTCAGCAATACAAGAGAGCAGGCAATACATTACACAGTACACACACACACACTATAAACAATTACATTACACACACCCTGCACCTATAATGGGTACAGGGTGACTAAAACATAAGATAAATAAAGCAGCCTACATAAATAGTCTGTCTGAAGGTAGACTAGGGGCTTTAAAGCCAGATACATGAAAGAGTCATAGTCACAGGGGAGGAGGCTGGCAAGTAGGCCTCTCCAGGACCAAGTGGCGAAGGGCACTTCGTCACATATCTCCCCTTCGGGGGGAAGACTAACCAGGCACCTGACTTTCTGTCGGTCAGTGCCTAAGTTAGTCGAGTCACCCACCGACCATAAGCAAGTGCCAGAGTAGCCCACCCACAACAAACAGTTATTAGAGCAGCCCACCCACAGCAAACAGTGACTGCACCTGGGTATTCCTCTGGGGTGATGGGGCAACACGCTGTGGGGACTTGAGGGGCAGAGGCCAGCGCGCTCTGCCCTGATGTCAGCGCTTCTGCTGGGAGGAGGGGGGTGCAGGCCAGTCCTGTGACAAGGGGATCGGTAGGGCAGAGGCCAGCAGCGGTCTGCCCTGATGCCAGCTCTTCTGCTGGTATAGCCTGCAGGACATCAGGCTCTGGACAAGGGACAAAGGGAGGGCAGAGGCCGACTGTACTCTGCCCAGCTGCCAGCTCTTCCGCTGGGGGGCTTGGGACATAGTCCGGCTCAGTAGCCAGGGGAACGTGGGGGTCAGTGGTGGTTAACATCTCCCCTGTTAACCCTGGGGCCAAGTTAGGAGTTAGCTGGGGCGGGGAATTCGTACTTACCCCCTCCTCCTGTTGTCCCTGTGAGGGTAGTTGGGGATCTGGACAGGCTGTCCAGCATCCCTGTAGGTCGGACACAGAGACCACGGTCCCCTCTGCGCCATCTGGGAGATTAGTGTCTCCCCTTGGTAGGGTAAGCTGCCGCTGGGGAGATAGTGTGCTGTGCTCCTCTCCCTGAAACACAGGCTGCCGCTGGAGAGGGAGACCGCCTGTCTCCACTCCCATAATATTGTCCTGCTGCTGGAGAGAGAGACCAACTGTCTCTGCTCCCTGTAGGACACACTGCTGCTGGGGAGGAAGGACGACACCTTCGGCTCCGTGGAATTCGCACTGCCGCTGGGGAGGAAGGACGACACCTTCGGCTCCCTGGAATTCGCACTGCCGCTGGGGAGGAAGGACGACACCTTCGGCTCCCTGTAACTTGCACTGCTGCTGGAGACTAGGTGTCCATATCCTCAACCTCCACAGTTGTCGCTCAAAGGCCATTGCCGCACTGTTCTCAGCACTCAACTGGCGCATTACTTGGTGGACCACCTCGTTCGAAAGGTCTGGGCCATAGCAGACCAACCTCCTCTTTACCTCCTCAATGTAAGCGTCGTCCTCGTAGCGACGTATCATGTTGAGGTGCTCTTCGCAGGGCTCTATCCATCCCTGCTCCATGCTGCTGTAGTTAGGGACGCTGCACAGTGGCTAGCGTTGCCCTCAATAACCTCTCATACGATACCAGTGTCTCCGAGCTGCTTTTCCTCGCACTAGGACGCCATCCCACCGCTGCCACCAATGTAACGGAGCTCCTTGTACTCCGACTGAGTACCCTCCGTTGATGGATGCTCCTAGCGCTTCCTGAGGACTCCCAAGCACTGCAGCAGACACCACAACCACCGCAGACTCCGCAACCTCCGTATCTTGACTGGAGTCTCACCGTCTTCCTTCCACCCTGGATCAGCTTCTGTCCTCCAGGACTGTGTGGTGAAGACCCCTCCTCCAAGGAGAGCGTGTCAGGAACAAGCTCTTAAAAGAGCTAAGTAACTCAAGCTCAGGGGAGCATGCAGAACATAGCAATCCCCAGTGTGATTATAACAGCTCCCTCCAATAACGAGACAAGGCTACGTTTAGAGGGATCAAGAAGAACTGTCAAAACCTTTATTCCCTTGGGACCAGCCAATACAGTCACCACAATAACATTGTTGTGAAATCTTAATAAAATCACAAACAGTCAAACCATATCAAGAAACACACAGTGACTTATCACAACACAATGGCACATTTTTAAAGGGGTGGGGGGAGACAATATTTAACAGTAAATATCTCACCTGCCTGCAGAATTAGCAATATGCAAATCTACCCGAATATGCAAATGAACCAGTCTTGCAATTCAGGTAGTGCGTATTGCTGTTGCTACCAACAGAGGGCGCTAGACAAGCTCCATAGCCAAACCCACCTAGTTGGTAGCAAACCTCAGCAATACAAGAGAGCAGGCAATACATTACACAGTACACACACACACACACTATAAACAATTACGGTACATTACACACACCCTGCACCTATAATGGGCACAGGGTGACTAAAACATAAGATAAATAAAGCAGCCTACATAAATAGTCTGTCTGAAGGTAGACTAGGGGCTTTAAAGCCAGATACATGAAAGAGTCATAGTCACAGGGGAGGAGGCTGGCAAGTAGGTCTCTCCAGGACCAAGTGGCGAAGGGCACTTCGTCACACACTGTATTACCAGGATGAGTGTGCTACTTGGTTATATCGGAAATATTAGTATTTGGAAATTGATAAAATAAATAAAACTAGTCAAGCTTATGAGTATTTGTAGACTCATGGCATTATTAGCAATGCAACTTTTCAAAAATGGCCACATAGCATAAAACAAGGCTGGTTTTAAGCATAATACCACATAGAAGTAACCAAAGCTAAAGCTAAATGTTTTCATTGCAGGGTTTAAATGTCACTCAGACAGCCATAAATGCCACTTCAGAAAGACCAGGTGCACTCGCCTCCCAATCCTTTCCTATGGGAAAGCATTGGATTAGCTGTGAAGTCCTGCACAGCAAGGGAGAAACAGCAAGTAAAATACCTTTTTCATTCTCTGCAGGTGGGAGTCTAGGACCTAAACAGCCAACAGGGTACTACAGAGCTAGGAATACACACTTGTCTTACTAATGCTACAGTGTTCCTTTAAATAAAGTGATTTGAAAAATGTTGCAACCTGCAATTAATGTCAGTATTGCTATGAGGGCACTGTAGTGGATATTGTGTTTAGAGTGTTTTGTTTTTCAATACAAAAAAATACAATATCTTGATTGATTGAGACCTTTCCTGCTTCCTTATGTTATGGGGGGCTACAATTCTCCCATACTCCCAGAACAAACAGCTATTCATTGAACACATTTTTTTTCCTGGCTACCCCATTTCCTCTCATCTAACACTCCTTTCCTCATTCTTGGGGACTTTAATATCCCAATCAACAACCCTAACTACCCTGAGACCTCTCGTCTGCGCTCTATAACCTCCTCTGTTGGACTCACACTGTGAGTTCATCAACTCATAGAGCAGGAGACACTCTTGACCTCATCTTCACCAATCTCTGTACCAACTCTAATCTTTCTAATGTTCCATTTCCTCTATCTGACCACCACCTGCTATCCATTGACATCCGCATACCCCGTACCCATAGTACACCACCCTCACCACATCCGTCTTGCAGAAACCTCCATTGTCTTGACCTACAGCAATTCTCCTTTCACCCATCTCAAATCTTACCTTCTCTAAAACTGCAACCTCCCTCTATAACTCCACTCTCTCCTCTCAACTAGACATCATAGCACCTCCTACACTTAAACGTACTAAGCTCCCTCAATTACAACCCTGGCACACCAAACTGACCCTATACCTCCAATGTTCTGGAACTGCTGAGCGCAAAGTCTTATTCTGCATCTGACTTCCTCCACTATAAATTTATGCTGCGCTCCTACAGTCTGGCCCTTTCCTCTTCAAAAGAAAACTGCAATATACTCACAAACACACTCTCTGGCAAACCCAAAAGACTGTTTCATGCCCTATAACTCTCTTCTTTGCCCTATCGTGCCTCCTCCTCCTACCAACTTGACCACCACAAACTTTGCAACTCAATTCACTGAGAACATTTCTCCAATCAGGGAAGAGATCTCTCATCTCTCTCCATCCACTACCAACTTTATCCCTAACCACACTCCTACAGCTGTCCTATGCTCATTTGCACCCACTACAGCAGAAGAGGTTTCTGCTCTGCTCCGTTCCTCCCGCCCCACCACCTGTTCCCTCGATCCTATTCCCCCGTATCTCATCCGCACTTTGTCTCCTTCTCTTGTTCTGCCTAGGGTCCAGAAACATGGGTCATCTCCGCCCACTCCCCCCAACAACCCCCACCCAGGACAAGAACCCCTGGCCCCTCAGTACACGACCTGCTGGAAAAAAAGTGAAAGATAGAAAGGGGAAGAAATAGTAAAGAAAAGTGCAATAACCTCTGGTCTTATAAATCGCCAGATGTTAGGAGGGTTCATGTAACCAACCCTCTGCTAGGATACCAGCTTTGAGGAGGTTTAGGGTCAAGAACCATGTACCCTCAATAAAGCCAACCATGAACTTCAAACAGTAAACTAAAAATACCTTGAACATTCCAGGTACAAATGAGCGTAACGGTGGGTACATTTTCACAATTTAACATTTACATTTCTTTGTTCATTCATTACAGATATAGTGAATAACAAGGATTTAGATATTATATGCTATACACAACTAAAATATATATATGGCAGGCTCTACAAATATTAGCATAAAATTAGAAATACATTTACTTACACATAGTTACATAGCTGAAAAGAGACTTGTGTCCATCAAGTTCAGCCCTCCTCACATTTGTTTGTTGCTGTTGATCCAACAAAAAAATCCAGCAAAAAAAACAGTTTGAAGCACTTCCAATTTTGCAACAAGCTAGGAACAAAATTCTTCTTGACCCCAGAATGGCAGTCAGATTTATCCTTGGATCAAGCAGTTATTACCCTACATTGAAAGATTATATCCTTGAATATTCTGTTTTTTCAAGTATGCATCTAGTAGTTGTTTGAACATCTGTATGGACTCTGATAAAACCACTTCTTTTCAGGCAGAGAATTCCACATCCTTATTGTTCTTACAGGAAAAAACCTTTCCTTTGCCTTAGACGAAATCTTCTTTCTTCCCGTCTAAACGCATGACCTTGTACACAGTAGTGCAACCAAAATAGACAGAACACTCTATGCAAAGCTTAAGGACATTTTTAAAGAATCTCATTGAATTTTTGCCCACTTACTGTACATAGTTAAATATCTAAACTGTGTATATGTAAAATTCTGTGCAATATAAGTGCCCCTTGCCATCTGCATATAAGCCTTGGAGTGTACCTAATATGCTCCATCTTGATGGCACGTGTACAGCCAATGTATATTAAATCATAGGGAGGATGTGATATCAGTACCTTTGGACCAGACTGCAGGACTAAACAGAACTCCAATGTGAAAAAAAAACAAAAAACAATGTTACTCCACCAGG